GTGGTGTGTACAAAAAACGGAAAGAGAAAAGAAACCAGATACAGGTGTAAAAACTGCCCAGGGACACCGTCTCTCTGCCTAGACCCTTGTTTCGAGCAATACCACACCAAGGTCAACTACTAGACACTGGATATGGAGAGCTGGGAAAAAGAAATAGCTTGAGAAAATGTAAGTACACAATTATAATAATGAACTGTAAACAATTGTAAATATAATATAATTTTTTGGAATTTTTCAAATAGCCATTTCATTATTTAAAAATATTTAGGTAAATGTCTGCACAAAACCTTCAATGCTTGCGAAAATAAAGCACCGGGAGGGATTTAAATACCCCCGCTTAAATTCACGCTAGATGCAAGTAACTGAGTGGACGCATATGGTGCGTCGCACACGCTTGAGGGGTTATATGCAACTTAATGATGAATATTACAGTAACTATAAGTGGTGAATTTGTACAGATGAGTAGATTTCCATGAGGATTGTAAGAGAAATCTGAAAATCTCAGTCAGGAATTCACTCCTTGGGCTTTCTGAACATGAATTAAAGCTGTGTAATTCTGATTAGATGGTCCTCTAATTTTTTAAAATTAAAATGGTGGTTGATGGGATTGTGAGACCATGCATGAAACTGGTGTTTCATAGTTTATTTAACAATTCTTTCTAAACTCCAATTCCAGAATAAAGTCTAGGATCCCGTAAACATGAAGGAGTTGTGAGAGGTACCAACAACTTATCACTGATGTTCATTTGAAGATGATTTGCATGTGGTCAAAGATTTCTAATATTCATGTATGTCTATCAATGGATAAAAACAAAACATATAAAATAACCGAGACTACAGTATACTGTATATCTAGCATTACTAAGAGAGTATGTTACTACATGTCACTTTCCTCCCAAGAGCACTACTTCTACAATGCCATGTTTTCTGTTTCCACTGTCACACACTGAACTGTAATATAGCTCTGTTTCTTCTATAACATGATAATGAAAGCTACTCGTACTTATTTGTCTGGATGAGTGTTTTATATTTTTTTTAATATTCATACAATCCCTTTTTAGATCAGTGCTAAATGTAACAGCTTTCTTTCACTGCTGTCAAATTTCCTCACTCAGTCAATTTAGTACACTACAAAGGATTGTAAAATACTTCCAGTTTTAGTGGACAGAGTGACAAGGAGTGTTGTACAGAACTGCTAATGTTGGTTTTGTATCACTGGTATGGGCTTAGGACCAACTGCTCAATTTGCTCTACCTTTTATCTGGCCCTGTTTCTAATGGATCAGACCTGCAATAAACTCATAATTTAAATTCTTCATGCAAGAACACACACACACGCACGCACGCACACACGCACGCACGCACACACACACCACCTCCAGTTGATGGAAAGATTACAAAGACCTGTTTGAAAATACGACTGCATACTGCCTATTACTTAACACATGGTATGTACTGTATCATCTTACTAGACGCTGCAACATTTACTGCAAGAACAGTAGCCAATTCTTAACATCAAACATGCTACAGCACAATACTCACGTGATTTAGCACTGGTGTCTGAGTACTAGTTGGGGGCACTCCAAAATCTAACATCAAATCTTGGTTCGCTGTCTGGGGTGCATGCTCCTACATACCAAAACACCAAGCCCAAACAAAAGAGTGAACCAAAAATATGAAATTAATATTGCAACATTTGAAACAGAAACTAAAAAAATAAACAATACTTATCATACATTAACATCATAATTCTACAGTACTACAAAAGTGTGAACAAGGACTCAGCTTTAGCCTTCACCTCTCTGAACAGTAAATAAGAATAACAGAATTCTAGAGAAATAAAAAACAGCTACTAGTATAGTCAACTGAAACAAGTATTATAGCACTTACCATTGTCATCGTACACATTATGGTTCTGAAGAATTCGACCTTGTAGTTTTAACTGTACTAGATCTATTACAGAATGTATTTTTACACCACGTCACAATACAGTTTATTTATTTATTTATGGCTTATTTAATAATGATGTCAACAACTCAGGCTATACAGTGCTGAAAAACATAACTGACACATAATGAACAGGACTGGATGTGAAAGGAAGCGGCCATGGCCTAATCTGAGGTACTAGCCTTGTCATTTGCCTGGAGGAAATGCAGAACACCATAAAAGCCTCTGTCAGAGTAATTGTTCTCTAGCCCAACATTTTTAACCATGTAGCTCCCAAACATGAAGCAATAATCACATTCCACATGACAATGATATTCAAGGTCACAATACAGGTTTCACACATACAGTGGCTCTGTCTCAATTATAAGGATGATTCCATCAAACTTTTTTAAATAAAAGTCTGGTTTGGTGAAGAACCAAAATTTTCAGTTTAAAAACTGTAAAGGGTCCAGTAGGTCGCAGGTTCAATTCCCGATGAGGTCATTGGATTTTTTCAATTGACCTAATCCTTCCAGCCGCACTATGGCCCTGGGGTTGACTCAGCCTCTAACAGAAATGAGTACCAGGAATTAACTAAATAAGTTTCCTGGGGAGTGAAGCGTAGCCGGTGCGTAAGGCTGACAACCTTAGTGCCATCTTTGAGCCGATTGTCTAGATAATGTGGGACCCTCAATGGCTCACAACCCTATGGGCCGTCACGGCCTGGTACAGGGATAGATTTACTTTACTTTAACCTCTAACGTCCGAATGACACACATATATGATGCAAGCAGCAACCAGAGTTGGCCAAATGACACATATATATGACGCAGGACACGTGCACTCTTTGGCAGTGCTGACAGTTTGACCTTGGGTTTGAAACCAAAACAAACCTACATGAGGTCATGTCAGTGGTTCATTCCTTAGCTCTGAACAAAGAAATCATTTATCACGGTACTGGTTTTGACACTATTTACATTTAGATATGACTGTTTATGACCTGGTCAGCCAAATATAGCCCAGCTTTGTTTCGAGAACTGATGAGGAAATATTCTTCTGTGCTTGCATGTGAGTGCTTCCAGAGCCTTCAAGAAAGTGTGACCCATGCAAGGATTGGTTTTCAGTGACGAATTATCAGTTAGGAAGTCAGTGTCGGATTGTCTAATATTTCTTTATCAGTTAAAAAGTTAGTGTCAGACTGTCATATATTTCTTTGTATATTATTTTTATTTTGTGTCTCGGAAGAGGTATAAACCCAGTGAGCCAGTATTACTTTGTGAGTAAAAGGCATCTTAGTCACTGTGACTTTCCGTATCAGTGTTGGACTGGCACCTTTTCGACTACTATTACAGTTATTATTTTTTATTGCTAGTGGGGTGGGACTAAGTCCCTTGTACTGCTGCCACTTCTGGTCTATTGTACCATACTATTACAGTTACTTTGCATCACTATTTTGCGAGTCTTTGTCGATCAACATAATTTATTCGATTTTGCTTGAAACCCCCCCTCCCCCAAGATGGAACCTCAAAAACGTGCCCGATATTCCAAACTTTCCGATGCAGAAGAACTGGAGGAAATATTGATGGAAGATGAATCTGATGAAGAGTTAGATGATATCAATGAATTCATTGAACCTCGAGCAAATATGTTGTCATTGTCGTCGTCATCATCATCATCATCAGACGAGGCAGAGGAAACAGAAATTATGTTTCGTGATAAAGACATGGGGATTCGCCAAAGATACTAGACTTCACTGGTCCTCCGAGTGGAATCAACAGATCAGCTGCTCCCAATATAAATGCACAGTCCTCTCCTTTTTCCATTTTCATTCTGTTTTTCCAACAAATATTCCAAATCTTGTTACAAGAAACCAACAGATATTTCCACCAATTTATGGCATGCCAAGATGCTCCAGGCCCTTCTGTTCAACCGCCTGACGTTACAATTGAAGAGATACATAACTTTTTGGCAATAATTATTCAAATGGGCCACGATCAATGGGACACCCTCAAAGATTATTGGTCAAGAGATGAGCAATACTACACTCCATTCTACGGTAACACCATGGTACAAGACCGTTTCTTCCATATTTTAATATTCATACACTTTGAAAATAATGAAGCTCCTCCAAATCGAGATGACCCAGAGTATGATAGGCTCTGGAAAATTAGAAAAATTTTTGACTATCTCAACAACAAATTTTGTGAACTTTACAATCCAGCAGAACATCTTGCTGTTGATGAAGTCATAGTGTTGTTCAAAGGAAGAGTGATTTTTCATCAGTATATTCCAAAGAAACGCAAGAGATTTGGTATAAAAATTTACAAGCTTTGCGATTTTTTTTGGGTATACTTATGACATGACAGTTTATTTGGGCAAACAGAGGCAATTTGCGACAGAAGAAATTACATTGACACATGGCATTGTTCTCCAGGTAATTCAAAGAGTAGAAGGCTTGGGGCACAAAATTTACACGGACAATTATTTCAGTTCTCCTGCTTTATTTGACGATCTTTTAGACAGGAAAATAAATTCATGTGGCACCGTTCGTAATGATAGGCATGTAATGCCACAAGAAATTCAGCCCAAGTCAATTAAATTGAAAAAAGGGGATACTGTTACAACAGTCAAGGGGCATCTAAGTGTTGTTCATTGGAAAAGCAAGCGTGATGTGTATGTTCTGATGAATTTGCACCCTCCTCCATTGGAAGGCAACTTTTGAGATGAATCTGGCCATGCTGTCAAACCCCATGTAATTGAAGACTACAATGCACACATGGGCTTTGTTGATAAATCTGAAAGGATGGTAAACAGTTATGGCATTGCTAGGAGGACATGGAAGTGGACAAAGAAATTGTTTTTCCACCTTCTAGATATGACTATTCTAAATGCATTTCTATTACACAAGTCATGTGGTGGAAAAATGACACACAAAAAGTTCCGCGAAATATTGGTGCGGGATTTGATTCTTCAGTCGCATGAGGCAAATATCACGATCAGTGGCGTTTCTCGGGGGAGGTCAAGTTCATCTGGGGCCCAACTGATTCGACTGGAGGTGAAACATTCACAACACTGGCCAACCAAAGGAAAACAAAGATGTCGTATTTGTTCTCAAAATAAGAAGCGCAGAAGCACACTCTACTACTGTAAAAAGTGTGAGGTTGCGCTACGTGTGGTGGACTGCTTCGAGAAGTGGCACATGCGCGTCAGAGTGTGAGTTATCGTAAACTGTGAAGTGACACAGTTCAAACTCGCGTACAGTCTGAACAAAATATTATTGTATATAGTCTGATTATATTTACAATATCACCATGATTCAAGGCTGAAAAAAAAACAATGGGTAAGTCCTTTGGAATTTCATAACATATATAATAAAGACTATATTTTGCATTTCATGACAAAATATTCACAGTTAATTTTCATTTGTAAAACTTGCTCTTTTATGTATATGTAGAAAATGTTATTGTCTTTCAGGTTCTTTGTAGTTCATATTTCTATGTTGCGTAGAACGGAAAATATGCATTTCTTTCTGAAAGTTTGCAATGATAATTAATTAGGGTGATTTAAATTCCAGCCGTACAGGGCTGCTGGTAATTTAGAAGTCCGTATGTTAGAGGTTAAAGGGTCCAGTAACCTGTCTGACTTATATAAATGAATGATGTGTAGTGCAGTGTATTGTATTTTTTTTATTGCCAGTGGGGTGGGACTAAGTCCCTTGTACTGCGGCCGCTTCTGGCCTATCGTACCAGCCCCAGATGATAGGTGAGGGTGATTGTGGAGCAATTGGTGGAATGAAGATTGGCAGGGGAAACTGAAGTACTTGGAGAAAACCTGTCCCAGCGCCACTTTGTCCACCACAAATCCCACTTGATCAGACCCGGAATCAAACCTGGGCCACCACAGTGGGAAGCCAGCGACTAACCACTTGAGCTATGGCATGTAGTGTAGTGTAAATCAACAACTTTACAATAAGTATGCATCTGTACACAACATAATTTTATCATGATACTGAAAACCACAACTCCTTACCCACTGTGAATATGCAACATGCTCTATGATATTTTTATTCAAAATTACTTCAGTGATAACGTCCTCCAACCTGGCCATTTACGCCTGAGACACCCTTTAGCAGTAATGCCTACAGAGAGAGAGAGAGAGGCAGAAAGAGAGGAACGTCTGAAGAATCCATCCATGATGATAATTTTCTGAACTGTGTATGCGAACCTGTTTGAAAATCTATGCCTAAAATCAGTAATCTGATATTATAAATGAGTTAGGCATAACAAACCTGAGATATTGCTGGGAAGCCTGTTGTGGTGGTTGCAATGTTGCCAACAGTTGCTGCTCCCATGTTAAAAAATGGATTTGAAGCCAGATTAGGCTGCTGTGGTGGCAAGCCTGCTGCTGCATATATTCCATTCTACAATATCAAAAGACACAATACATAGCATATTGGCTGCTCAGTGATCCGCTGTACGTGTCAGACTGTGGTATTAATTATGGCTGCTGAGTCAACATGCAGAAAGGGATCACCTGTTCTGTCTCATGAGTAACTGAAGTAAAAGTTAGTGGCAAATGATTCCAAAGATGTGGAAATGAAGTCAATGATCTGCTCTTTACAGTGCTGCTAAGAACAACAGTGATCATTACTTACTTACTTACTTACTTATGGAGCTGAGCCCTTCTTGAGGAGCTGCCAAATCTGCAGCTACTCAAGAATTTCCCAGCATTTTATGGAACCCAAAGGTTCATTACCATGTTCACAAGAGCCCTCCACTGGTCCCTATCCTGAGCCACATCAATCCAAACCATACCATTCCATTTTAATATTGTCCACCCACCTATGCCTTGGTCATCCCAGTGGTCTCTTTCCTTCTGGCTTTCCCACCAATATCCTATATGCATTCCTCCTCTCCCCATTCGTGCTACATGCCCTGCCCATCTCATCCTCACTGACTTGATCGTTCTAGTTATACTTGGAGAAGAGTACAAGTTATGAAGCTCCTCATTATGCAGTTTTCTCCAACCTCCCGTCACTTCACTCCCTCTTCAGTCCAAATATGAACATCTTCAGTGCCAGTAAGAATATACAAGATAAAAGAATTGCACTGACGACTCATGAAGACTAGAAGATGAAAATTTTGTAAAGAAATATTAAAATACAAAACTAAATGGAAAAGGAATTTAGAAAGACCTTTAAAGAGACACAAAGATCGATTATAAAAAAGAATCAGAGTAGGTCAAGAGACCTGACTCATGATGCTGACGAAGAACAGGCAGTTGCTCAAGTAGCAAGAAGACTTTTTGGATTTCTGCCGATTCAGCATGTATTACAAAATTTTTTAATTAATTTCAAAATCTCAACTGGAAAACCAGAAGCACTAAGACAGCCACAAGCATAGGTGGAAGGATAATGTTGAAATATACAGTGTGAGTGTGTATGCTGGATTGAACTGGTTCAATGGTGAGACCACAAAATGAACCACGAACATTTGAAGAAAGATCTTCAACCACAGAGTTAGTCAGTTTCAAGTATCCTCACACATATAACTAGCAAGTCAAGGATTACCATATGACAGGTTCAGAGTTTAGGGATGCTGATTCAGGTGACAGACATACAAGAAAGGAACAGTAATACCTGCACAACCTGTGTCCCAGGCATTATGCCATTAGGAATTGCTGCCGCAGGAGATCCTACCATCCCATATGCCACTGCACCCTGGGAGTACCCTGTTGCCTGTGTATACACACCACCTGAAATACAGCAATAATTGAAAATATCCTCACTTTTTATGAATTCAGTCAGCTGAACACACTTTTAAGACAGTAGGCTGCCAGGCTGTACCTGGAATGCCAAATAAGGAAGCAGGATTTCCAGCCTGTGCCTGTGATGGTGCTGCTGAATACAGAGCCAATATGGAGTCTTTGGTGAGCTGTCGCTTCTCTTGATTGCTGGGTGCTGGTTGGTTGAAGAAACTCTCCTCTTCTGCAGAACGGCCTTTGCTGCTGTCAGCATCCTTCTTGTCAGATGATGGGGAAGTGCTGACAGTGGAGGAAGCTGCTGGCAAGGCACTCAAAAAACTGCTGAAGATATCATCTCCACCTGAAGTGTTGGCACCAGCCGCTGACAAAGTTGTGCCAACAGGAGTGTCTGTAATAAAGCAAGATGAAAATTTTGATAATAAATTTAAATTCACTATTCAATTTTTGTTGTACATATAGTTTACTTGATGATCTGCGCCTAAGATCACAGAGTGAAGAAAAGTGTATCTTCAAATGATGATAATTCCATTAGAACTTAATTATAATTTTTATATTACACGGCAAGCATGTTCCATTTCTCTTGAACTGTCATCAATGCGTATCCTGCCATATAATTTCATGTATCAATTTCACCTGTTACATTTCAACAGCCATATATTTAAAATATATAACAGGTTGTCCATATTTATTCTGGTATATTTATCTGCCAACTTGACAAATGACTATGTTTCATTGTGAAATTATAAATATTTCTGTGTACTTGGAATCTTTGAGGAACATGAAAAATGCAAACAATATTTTATGCAGAAAACCTGAAGAAAAGGAGACTACAATAAATTTGATCTTAAAGAAGAGGGCGTGGACTGGATTCACCTGTCTCAATACAGGGTCCTGTAATGGGTACATGTGAACATGATAATGAACCTCTGGATTTCACAGAGGTATGAAACTGTTTAACCAGCAATAACTTTCAAACTTCATGCAATATGAAAAAAGAAAAAAAAAACCTGGTCAAAAGTGCATCTAGGTTCCTACAAATTCTGCACTAACCACCTGCACATTTGCGGATCCCTTGCAACATTCTTTTGCTTTGTAACTATGGGGTTATTTCATGCAAAATCAAAAATGAATGACCTTCCATCTCATGGATTTGACCAATATTTTTTGTGGATGGGCATATGCGATGAAACCAACTGACAGTTTCTGAAACCTTTTTTTCTTAACACACCTTGAAAAGCCTATGTGAGATGGGGATTTCAACTTACAAACCAGTGGGAAAAAACTAAAAAACATAACTTGCTTCTGACACTCACCTAGCCCCAGAAGATCTTGTGTCTCAGTTTTGGCAGGTTTGTTTGATTCACCCTGTGTGCGTCCAGGTTTAGGGCTAGTAGAACCTTTAGGTTTCGGCAGCAGCTGTGGTACTGCAACATTTGGCACAGCTTTTCTGGTCTGCTGCTGTTGTTGCTGTTGCTTTGCTTCCTTCTTTCGTCTTCTCTGTCTCTCTGCTTCCTCATCCAATTCTTTATCCCAATTTACCTGCAGATAAAAAAAATCACAATCATGATAATTGTGTGTGCATGTGTATGCACACGCCTATAAACAGTTACTCATAAAGAGCTTTCTCCATTTATGGGCATTCAATGATCATGTTCCATCCAAAGAGATTTAAACGTTTAAGTTAATGCTTATCAAAACAAATTTTCAATAAATTTTTCTTCCACCAAAGAACCAACCATGCTTTTCTCCTCCTCCTGCTTCAAGCGACAGACTCTCTGGCCTGTCCTTTCTCTTACAAACGTATCCTTCCATCTTATCTTACAATGTATTCATACCAGCAGCTCTGGTATTCTACTAACTTGTTCAGATTTTAGATATTTAACTTGTTCCATATTTTGATGTTTCTCTTAAAAAGTCTAAGAGGATAAATCCAGTCGGTGATCTTAATTTCAGCTGACCAAATCTTTCTCTTATCAAACCAATTCAGTGTCCAATTATTACCATTAAATTACCAGAACTCAGATCATAAAACCAAAAATTTCAAGACTACTAATACCACAGTCGACTGAAATTATCCCACGCAAGTTAAGTTTTGTTCACATACTGACAACCTGTTTCCCTAAGATTCATTCTTAGAAAGGGAAATAGTAACACTAAAATTTTAGCATACACATCACTAATGTATCAAATTCTTGAATATGAGGCAGCGTGCTGGGATCCTTATAGGCATGAACAGATAAATGCACTAGAAGGGGTGCAAAACATGGCGAATAATTTGCACATCATAGAAGTGATTCGAATTGGGAAACCTTGACACAGCGAAGAAAGATAGCTCACATATTTGCTCTCTTCAAAGCGTACATGGGAGAATGCGCATGGAAGGCTATATATAGGTGATAGATTACAAAGGCCATGCTATCTGAGCAGAGTCGATCATGACAAGAAAATTAAGAGCAGAAAGAAAAGATATTCGAAAATACTCCTTTGTAAATAGGACCATCCAGCTCTGGAACAACAACTTGCAGATGCTTTAGGGACTCTCTCCTGTAAACCAAGTAATTTCATGAAAAGGGTTAGGAAAGTGATAAATAAGGCAAAGTGAAGTGAAGTGAACTGTGGTGTGGATGTGAAAGGTGTAGTGTAGTGAGGTGGAATGAAGGGAAGGTCACAGTGAAATGTGGGTGCATCAGTTCATGACATTACGTATTTCATTACTGTAAGTGTTTAGTGTATATTTTTTTATTAATATTGATTTATTTAATTGTAGTTGTAATTGTATTTGTATTGTATTCACTGTGTGTAGTGTGTCCTTTATTGTTTGTTTAGTTTTGTGTGTTGTATTTTGTCTGAGTGTAGTGTGTTATTTGTGTGTTGTGTCTTATTGTAGTACCACTGCCACCAGGTAAAAATCCATTTGCATTTTAAATAAATAATAATATTTCTTCCTGTCTGCACTGGTATACAAGGAAGGTAGGTCAGAAATTTCTGGGACTGAATTTATTATGTATCAAGAATACAACAATAAAGCACAGTTCATGTTAACTGTTTCTGACCACACTTCTCTATCAACATTTATGCATAAAACACTTTTTTTTTTTGTGGACAGGTTCAGTGTGGTCATTGATTTGTTAAATGGTTATATTATGGAACACTGTGTATGCATAAAGTTCTGGGCAAAATTTGGTAAGTTAATCAACTGTTTAATCAGATATTCCTCCCTGGCCAGTGCTTTCTGATGTCTGCTCCAGCACATATATAATATAGCTTCACCTGCATTTATTTCTGGATGAACCATCTTACTATCATGTAACAGAGCTTGTGCTCTTCTTCAAAACATTTATATTTTCTACCAGATGATTCTTGGAGCATTCTAAAGCTTACCTACATTTATCACACAGACAAAGTAAAACCTTTTTATCACAGAAAAACATGGGTTCTATCATTTCATTTCAATTCATTTCTTCACCTTCCATAAATCCTGTTGAGAGTACGTTCTCATGCGGATGTGGAGATCGTCCTTGTTACAGTCACAACTAAGGATTACAGTTGTCATCAAATAGCATGCACATTTGTATAAAATACTGATAAACATATACAATATAATAAATAAGTTAATTTTAGTAGTAAAAGTAATGGCAGAGCTCATACAATTTGTACAGTTTTATGCAAGTCTATTAATTAAAAATTCAATAGTTAAAACATAATGTCATTAGTGAGTTTTGTATAACATACATTAATTATATAATACATTGAAATAAAGACTAGTATACAGTAATATAAAAATTGTGTATATCTAAAATAATCTAAAAATCTAAAAACCAGAATACAANAATTAAAATGATACTTAAGTGAACAACAACAAAAAGAATATACGTATGAGTTATACCCAAACTCATCCACGAGCCAGTACTTTTATTGCAGATTCTGCAGATTAATGTGTTAAAAATATATAGTAAAATTCGATGTAAATACTTTTTTTGTTGTTATCTGCTTGATGTATATATAGGCTGAAATAAAACTACAGTATTCAATTTCACTAAGCACGCACAGAAAACAGATCGCCCTCTGAATCTCAGCCGCGATGCAGCTGTCTGTTCAGGCCCATAGAAAGGGCAATAAGCTTTTGTAGCTATAACGGAAGGTCTTAGCACTGAAGAAGGGACCCCTCTAGCTCTCTCTTGAATAGCCATTCTTTCATTCTTCTGACCTTCAGTCAAAAGATTCGAAAATCCGAAGAGTGTAAGCAGTGCTAGCAGAAGACCAAATGATTTTATTGCTTCCATCTGTTTTATGACATCAGGGACTGCTAAAATTTGTCAAGTGTTACAAACAGAAATGAATTTGTAATGCAGAACAACTCTGTGAAGAACTGAGAAACTATTTTTGCAGTACTCATCAAAATTAAAAGACAAAAAATTGAAAATAGAGCATAATTTGTATAAAAAATTTCAAATCTTCCATTATAATATGCGACAGTATGATCTTTGCTGATACAAACAAAATTAATTCCATCCATTTATCATAAAAATTGAGTTAGATACAGCATTTTTAAACACAGTGCTTAAAACTGTTTAGGCGCACTAACAGAAACGGACATGTAAACGCGCACCAGCAGCGGGCATTTAAATAAACTCCGGCCAGCTCAAGCTTACCACTATTTCAGAAGTCCGGCGTTTAAAGGTTAATATATTGTGGTAGATTATTATAGATCTTTGTTCCTAAACAGTAAAGTCTCTTTTGGTATTTATTCAAATTTACAAGAGGCTGATGGAGATTATTTTGCTGTCTGGTATTTATTCTATGAATCTCTGAATTTACTATGAATTTGTTTCTATTTTTTTATCACAACGAGCATAAGAGACAGCATGTACTGAGATGCCAGAGGTAAGATTTCTATTCTCTAAATAAGTTCCTGCACGAATCCCTCCTTCTGCATCCCAACATAATTCTAATTATATTCTTTTGCATTCTAAAAATTTTTATACTTTGGAGTCAGTTATCCCAAATGGGTAAACCATAATTTATAATAGAATTAAAATAAGAGAGATAAACCATTTTTAAGGTATTTATGGACGTGTATGTATGAAGCGATCTTATTATGTAGCAGACTGCACTTAGTTTAGAACTAATATACTCAATGTGATATTTCCAGCTCATTGTGTCATCAGTGAGCATTCCAATACTGGATATAGATGTAATTTGTTTTTTATCATATACAATTTTTATTTTGGATTTAGGATTTTTAATTCTAGGTGTAAATTGAATGTAGTGCGTTTTGTTAAAATTTATAGAAAGTTTGTTTACTTTGAACCATTCATTTATACTATGAAAAGCATTGTTTATATTTACACAGAGCTCATCATAGTTTGAACTTCTAACTAACAAATTAGTGTCATCTGCAAATAATATAGGTACAGTTATATCATTTATAGTTTTGGGTAAATCTTTTATATAAATAAGAAATAACAATGGACCCAGAATCAAAACTTGCGGGACAACATGTCTAATTTTGCCCCATGTCGAAAATTCATTGAGATTAAGATTTATATTTGTAACTAGCAGTACCCGGCCACGCGTTGCTGTGGCTCACTCAGTCTTGTTAAGTTCGTAGACGTCTTTGTTCTTGGCCGCAAGAATAGCTCATTCACTCAGCCAATCATGATTCTTATAATTGGGTTGAATATTGGGAAATACTTTTTCAACCAATTCTTCTGACGTCACTAAATTGCGGAAGTTATGAGGCAATGAAATTCGTCCTGAGGTCAGATCAACCGGCACCTTTCCGTTCCCAATTTCCAGCAATTGATGTGAGAATATCTCAGCTGATCGACCGTTTTGCAGCTGGACACGCATATTTGTAGTTAATTTTAACGTCTTTACGTGTCGCCACAAAGTAGAGTATTTCAGGCAAGCATTTATTTCGTCCACTGGTGTCGATCGAGGAATTACAGGTAATGTTTGCCTGAAATCTCCTGCAAGCAATATTAATGCGTTCCCAAATGGTCTGATGTTTCCACGCAAATCTTGCAATGGTCGATGAAGAGCCTTTATCCCATAGAACTCCAATTTTGACAACAGAACCTCATGATTAACACAATCAAAGGCCTTTTCTAGGTCACAAAAAATGCCTCCTATTAAGTTTTTGCTGCTTAAGGTCTTACAGATTTCCGTCACTAACTTGTATATAGCCTCATCTGTTGAAGATTTTGTTCTAAAACCAAATTGTTCTTCCACTAAAATGTTGTTGTTATTTAAGTGCTCAATCAACTGAATGCTCATAGCTTTTTCTAATGCCTTAGAGAACAAAGTTAAAAGTGATATAGGCCTATAGTTGGAAATATTTGTTTTTTCACCCTTCTTAAACAGTGGTCTTATTTCAGAGTATTTTAAACGATCTGGGAAAATTCCTTGTGATAATGAATTGTTGCATATGCGAGTCAAAGGAGAGCAAATGAAAAGGGAAATCATTCTTAATACTCTAGTGGATTTTTCATCATATCCATAAGAGTTTTTTGCTTTGAGATTTATTTATATTTTCA